ATAAAAAATAGGAATTATAGAATTTTTTTATTTTTGTTTGGAGAGAAATACCAGGTTTATTATTAGATATAATTGAATCAGGTCACGGGGTTGTGGATATTGATTAGGTTGGTTGGAGATTTTATTTTAGGGAAAAGAATACTTTGTATGTAAAAGAAACTATCACTTACTTTCATATCTCCTATTTTTTAAATATTAATGCGTATTTAGAAGCAGTGCTTCAGTAAATATATTACTCAGTTACTCTTTGATATCATATATACTTTGATGACATTAAAAAGAAACATACAGTATTTCAGTGAAAATACTACTAATTGATACCATTATAGTGTATATATATACACACAGTCAGGTAAATCGTTTGGACCGTGGATCCGACCAGAATAATTATATTGGGTTGGTCTAGTTTAGGTAAAAATAGGTCCAAATTGTGTAGTTTTTTCATGGAAAAATTACTTGGATGGATAACTTTTAATAAATAATTTACTAATTTTAGCGATACTTTTTATTTGTTACCATTTAAAGCAATACATAGCAATACTATTTTAAATCTCCAATATGTATTAAAAGTGAATTATATATGCAATATATATGTATTATAATTATTTTTTATAATATATTATGCTTGTTTGGCAAGAAATTAACACATTGTATTAGAAGGGGCCGTTTGGTTACTGGTTAGAGTTATGCAGGTATTAGTTATGCAGGGTTTAGTTATGCAAGTATTAGTTATGCAGGGTTTAGTTATGTTGGGTTTAATTATGCGAGTATTAGCTATATGGATATTAGTTATGTAGGTATTATTTAGTTATGTAGAGATTACACCACATGAATTATTAACTATTGATGTGACATCTCGCTAATTGAAAGAACTAGAAAGAGATAGAATTGGAAATAGTCAATTTAAGGAAAGAATGAAAAATCTGGAAATTTTCAAGTTAAGTTTGAATTTTTCGTCAACTTCAAACAACCATAACTCCTAGCTCAGGATGAGTTAGGTGTGCTTCTACAGACCGTAGGAAAGATCTTGGAATTATCTTTTCAACGCCGCAAAGTTTGCGCGATTCCGAGTTTGTATGAGTGAGATATTCTCATTTGAAGTTGGGTTGTTCAAATAAGAAAAGTGTAATCCGGATTTTGGAAGGGTAGTTTGGTCTTTTCCTTACCAAATTACTTAATTTCATTTTTAGGAGTTAAATTGGGGTCTAAACTGAAATTGGTCAGTTTACACTTTTGAAAACTAAGTTAGGGTTTTGAGAGAAGAGAAAAGAAGAGGAGAAAAGAGAAGAAGGAGCAAGAATCGTCAAGTTCTTCAAGAATCGCTTGTGGATTTTGTCAAGGGGTGATCCTTACGAGGTATGTGAGATCACATAGCATTGGGTTAGTTCACCCACGCGCCAATCATGATTCAATTCAGCGAAGTTGTATAGTTTTGAAAGCAAAACTTATGAGTTCTTGATGTTAATTCGTTTGAAATCTTGTAGGTTCTTGTTGTTGAAGTTTCTTAAGATTGATTCGTGTAATTAGGTGTGATTTCGAGTTGGATCTTGCATATATTGATGATTTAGTTGTTCCTAAGTGTTAGGGAAAAGAACCAAGTTTATTTAGGGGGATTAGAGTTGAAAAACGAGCAAGAAAAGTCGGAGTGCACCTGGGCAGGGGCCTGGGGCGCCGCCCCTCTCAGAGCCCCAAGAAGGGACCTCTGAAGTTTTGGTCTTGGGGCGCCGTGCCAGCCAGAGCGCCCCACCCTTGCTTCTGAAGTTTTCCCTCTGACGCCCCACGTTGCTCAGAGCGCCAGGGATACCAGTATTTCTCATTCTTCCCCCATCTTTCCGTACTAGTTTCTTAGAAACGTACCTATGTTTTCTAGTTGATTCCAACACTCTAAGGAACGTCTAAACATCATGAAATCATCCATAAACATGAGATCATGAACCTTGAATCCATAATTCATTTCAAGGAAAGTTAAGAGTCAAGTCAAGAGGTGAAGAGTTAAGTCAAGAGAAGTTCATAAAGTTTTCCAAAAGTCTTTTACAAACTTTTTAACGTCGTTTTAAGACTTAAGCTTTGAGTTGACTAAAGAGTAAGAGTAAAACTTCATTTCTTCAAAGATTATACGGAAACTAAGTATTCCTAAGAGTTAAAAATGTTTTCACATTTGAGCAAGAAAGGAAACACTGATTTTCAAGAGAGCTTTTAAGCTAAGTTTTGAGTAATTATCTCAAATCAAAGAAAAAGTTTTTGTTTTAAAAATATATGAGCTAAGTATATTTTGGGCGTAGTATTGAGCACCGATATGGAGATGCGAGTTCATAATAACTCAAGTCTCCATAAACCATGTAGCCATCATGGGTAGAAAATGATCATACTTTTTAGATGATTCATTAAGTATTTTTTAGCATAGACTGATGAATCCACTTGGTTAAGGCGTTCTATTTGACGGCAAAGTATATGACAGTTCTGGCAGCATGGGCAAGACGTTATATCATCACTTAGGCTCATAGTGATGGTTGTCGGTTAGAGAAACTCTCACGGTATTATATTACTTTGTATGTAAACTGAGTTGTTATCGCATTTCTTTAACAAATTGAGTTTTTACCTACTGTTTTAAATGCTTTGTATAAACTGCACGATTATTGTTGTTTTACTTTGTATTTGAGTTGAGTTATTCATGAGTTGAGTAAAGTCAAGGTAAGTGTTTCTTTCAGATTCCTTTCAAGTTTATGTTATGTTTAGTTTTCCCCTCGCATACTCGTACATTCAATGTACTGATGTCATTTGGCCTGCATCGTTTTATGATACAGACACAGGTAATCAGGATCAGCATCCAGGGCCCCGTTGAGCACTCACAGTCAGTTGGTGAACCTAATTGCATTCTGGAGGACTCCTTTTACTTTGCTTTTAGTATTTCAGTTGTTAGGATGACCGGGGGTCTTGTCCCGACATTCCTCTTTGTTTTAAAGGCTTCATAGATTAGTAGTTATAGTTCTTTAGTCTTTTCGTTTTCAGTTGTATACGTTTAAGACTTGAGTTGTCATTTTAGCTAAGTTTAATATTTCTTTAAGACATTACATGAGTTATCCTTTTGAGACTATTTCTTGTGTTTAAGTCTTCCGTTGAGTAAGCAAGCTAGGTCAAGGGTTCGCTTGGGGCCAACAATGGTTCTCTAGTGTCAGTCCCTCCCAGGGTGTAGATTCGGGGCATGACAATTGAATATTAAACTTGTTGTAAATTATTAATATTTATTATATACAAAATAATAATACATACTAATAAAATGTGGAATATATTGAATAATATATAATGTTAATATTTGATTAGCATATGTACCGTCAAAAATATACAATCAAATTTCTAATATTAAAAAAATATTTATATTTGCATAAATAAATAAAAACTGTAAATATATAAAAAGAAATGAAAATGGTCTATATATAAAAAGAAATAAAAATAACAAACGTAGATAGGAAAACAGTAAAGTTTCCAATTAAAAAAAATAAAATAAATTAAAAGAAATGAAAATGGTCTATATATAAAAAGAAATAAAAACAACAAACGTATATAGGAAAACAGTAAAGATTCCATTTTTAAAAAATTACTAATAGGGTAAATATGTAATTTATCATTTTAATACATGTATAACTAATACCCACATAACTTATTCCATCTTCTACCCTGCATAACTTTATACATAGATCCCTCATAAGTTATGTTGGTATTAATTATGTAGGACTACAAAAAATGCAACCAAACACAGTATTAATTAATACATGAATAACTTTTATACAACATTTAAATTCTTACCAACCAAACATGGTATAAGTTATGTTGACTTTTATACCTAATACAAAACTTCTACCAAACATAGTAAAGCTAATGCAACTTTTTATACATGAATAAGATGTCTCTTATACCGTAACCAACCGACAATTAAAATGTGTGATAAATGTATTATTCATCAATAAAACGTGCATTATATGAGTTTTATAAATTGCTCACTGTAATATGTATTAAAACTATATTATAAATGTATTAAAAGTGATTAAGTGAAAAAAAATGTTATTGCTATAAATGATAAATATTTTTTTAATATAGTACATTTATGTAAGTTTTCCTTTTTTTTCTTTATTTTATCCACACAAAAAAATACGTCACGTAATAAATAATAATCCATTTGTCTCAATTTATGTGGAGCTTTTCGTTTTCGAGAGTCACAATTTTTTAAATGAAATTTATATATTTGTAAACCACAAAAAAGTACTATAAGTCACAATAATTGATAATTCAAAATGTTTAAAAGATCTATGAAAAACTTACGGTCAAAAATAAATTTGTTTGAATCTCGGAATTTAAAAAGTGCCACATAAAATGGGACGGAGGAGTAGTAATTAAAAAAAGATTTGTCAATTTTAAGGATGAAAGTATGATAAAAAGGTGATCAGAGGCATATTTTAAACGAGATGAATGAAAATATATTTAAATCTTTTTGTATAGTTGAAGAGATTTTTATGGCAATTTTCCATAAAAAGTGATAGAGTCACACTAGTTAATATTTCGAAATAGTTAGAAGATATTTGAAAAGGCTATGGTAAAAAAATATATATTATTTGTCTATTTAGAAATAACTTAAGACAAACAAATTCAAACTTCTATTATTAAAATAAAAAATAATAATACCATAAAAAGAAAAGAAATTAGGATAGTTATTGCTTTTTTGAAAACAATTCTCACGCGTAATCCGTCTCCAGAGCGGAATACGAAAAATTACTATTTACGCGAGAATATTCCCACGCTAATCAAAATTAGGTGTACGATTAAGCGTTTAGGATCGACTGTCTACTTAATCCAAGGGTTAATATTCTACCAAACTGCTAATAGGAAACTTACCATAAACGCAAAACCCAATACGTACAGCCGACTAACTCAAATCCCACTGTTATATAAGCCCTTCTTCTCTGTGTTATTCTCACTCAAACTCAAACAATTCTTTTTCTCTCTGATTTAATACTTGTTCGATTCAACAACAAAAAAATGGCTGGAATTGTTGTGGTTTTCGATTTTGACAAGACGATCATTGATCTGGACAGCGATAATTGGGTGATTGATGAATTGGGAGCTACTGATTTGTTCAATCGACTTCTTCCTACAATGCCTTGGAACTCTCTTATGGTTAGATTTCGTTTGATTACTTAATTAATTCACATTCTAATTAATTTACATTCTTCTAACTGTTATCTGCTCTGTTTTAAACAAATTTACAGGATAGAATGATGAAGGAACTTCATGATCAAGGCAAAACTATTAACGACATTGAACAAGTACTCAAACGCGTACCTGTAATTCCCTGCGTTGTTCCCGCCATTAAAGCTGCTCATGCTTTAGGGTACGTATATTTTGCAAGTTCCTCTGTTTTTTTTTGTTCTGTAAAATCAGATCTTAAATGTATATTGTTGTTACTTCAGGTGTGATTTGAGGATAGTAAGCGATGCAAATGTCTTCTACATCGAGACAATTTTGAAACATCTAGGAATACATGATTGCTTCACGGAGATAAACACAAATCCGGGCTACGTTGATGAGCAAGGAAAACTTAGAATTCTTCCTTACCATGATGTTCATCATGGCTGCACCTTCAATACTTGCCCTCCCAACATGTGCAAGGTAAATTACTTCATACAAAATTCGTGAATTTAGTTCATTGCCATATATCGTAAATTGTTGTGATACATCTGCTATTAATTTCACAATTATTAGCGTATTCTAATGTATGATTTTCTGTATTAACAGGGTCTTGTAATAGAAAGAATACAAGCCTCATTGGCTAAGGAAGGGAAGAAAAGAATGATCTATCTCGGTGACGGAGCAGGAGATTTTTGCCCAAGCTTGAAGATGAAAGAGCAAGATTTCGTTATGCCAAGAAAAGATTTTCCAGTTTGGAAATTAATAAACGAAAATCGCCATCTAATAAGAGCAAGAATCCATGGGTGGAGTAATGGAGAAGAGCAAGAACACGTTTTGCTTAACATAATTAAAGCAATTACCATCGAAGAGAACCAATTTTTATCGGATGAGTGCAAGTTCCAGACGACGATTCCGATTAATGCAGTTCATGAAGCCATGCCTAAAGCTCTCCCACTCCCTGTGCCTTACTAATTAAACTTTGATGAATGACTTTTTTTGGTGTCAATAGTTTGTATTTTGATGATCAGCATTAAAAGAGATCAACCAATTAAAAATTGATTTTAATTACTTGTATTTTATGGAATTATTTGAAGTATTACATATCCACCTAACTTTTTAATTTTGTTTGTGTAATATTTTGCATTCTAATTTTGTTTCACTCAAATTTTGCATCCATGATAAGATTTCACTACATCGAAAATGGTCATACAATATGTGTGGCCATTACTTTATATCTTTTATTAAGGTTTATTTTATGTAATTAACCTTATCAATAAGGATAGCATACAAAAATAATAATAATACTTTCTGAATTTACTAAAATAAATAAATTAAAAAATAATTGATTTTAATATATGGAACAAACAAAATAAAACATTGAGGAAATTAGTTATTAGTGTTATTTTTGCATGATGATGTGCACCTCGACTTGGGCACACGATGGATGTGGCTGTGGCCGAAGATTCATGTATTCAAATTTGGATTTATAACTCCTTACATATTTCTTACTATTAAAAATTCTGTATCTAATTTTTAGTTTATTCGTTTTCACACATAAAATATTTTAAAATAATATATATACATAAAAAATTCACTGCATTATTTTCTTTAATTGAAATTATAAAGAGTATATTCACCCAGTCCTGAACAATTTCCCTAGTATAGACCTACTGGTGGTTCCCTACCTGGCCAGTGAAGCCTATGACAAGCATGGGCAGAGATACCTTGAACAAAGGGGGTTTCGGTGTATATCCCTTCGATGTATATCTTTTGTCGGAAATTATGTGGTCCATATATGAAGATCAAATATTATTAGTATAATGAATGTATATTTAATTTTCCACATTTTTAGTACAACTAAAAAAAGAAAATTTACACATCATTTGCTAAATTTATAACTCTGCCACTGAATTTGGTAAGTAGATATTATTGTTTTAATTAGGTTTAATATATAACAACTTTTAAAGTTTAATTTATTTTGGTTTTCCACCCGGTGTTCGGAACCTGCATTGGAGTCCGACTAAATTCGGATCGCGCACCGCAGGGTTCATTTGGGGGGAGGGGCTCCTAACAAAATTTTCTCTATACCCAAGGTTCAAATCCGAGACCTCTAATTAAGAGTAAAGCAGGTCCACCACCACTGTACCTTAGAATGTGTTTTATTTAGACATCTCAGATTTCCTATTATTAGACACTTAAAAGACAACCACATGCCAATTGTCAATCTTAAGACTGGACTTTGTCAAATAATTGGGTAGAGAGAGATGAAACTAAAGGCCCAAATCATAAGCCCAAAGCCCATTGTCTCTAAAAGTATAAAAAAATGAGTATTACTAATATCTTTTGCCCTTTGGTTCAACACCAATGTGTTCTTAGAAACTTACAAATTGGAAGTGATTTAAGACATATTTTCATTAAGATTAAAACATTTGAATCTGAATATTAAGACATTGTATTAAAATAAAAATATTAAATAATTAAGCTAGTTTGTTTTGCAACATCTGAATATTCAAAACTTATTTTTCAACAAAAATTTAAAATTGCTAAATATTTTTTTAAATAAATTATTCTAATACTAAATTAATAATAATAAAAAAAAAACCTATATGATAGTTGGAGGCGATGACAGTCATGGGTGACGATTGAAGATTATGTTGGGTGACTAACAATAGTAAGTAATTGTGATTGTTGATGGTGGCAACTAATAACAGTAGCTAATGTATATATAGTGGGACACTAATATGGTAATTGTCTTTAGCGATTCTTCATATTATACATATGTGTTATCTACAAAGTGACCTTACATATATTAGGCTTATTTTTTACCTCTATATAGAAGCTCTCAACTTTTTGTTCTATTGATAACTCGATCACATCAAAATCTTGAGATTAAAGGTGGATGGTGCTTATTACTAAATGAGGTTAGCTACATATTGGTGGCACTTTGCTATCTTACAAGCCCTTTCCCTTCTTATTAAAAAATGTGTAGAATCTTTTAGATCCACCAAACATTTGTGTAGATCAAAAGTATGTTGTACTTAGTTAACTATCAATGCTTGTCTCCTTGTTAAACAAATAAGAAAAACCAATCCTTTTTATACATTTTTGTTTGTTTTATCTTTAAAGAAAAAACCAGGCAAATGATGGAGGTTTCAATGACTTCAAATAGAACGGAGTTGTACATACTTTTTTTTTTCCAAGTCTCCCAATAATACAATTCTTTTTTAGCCAAAGAGAAAAGACAAATTAGATTTGTTAGCTTTCTTATCAATTCATGCCAAACCAAGTTTGCCGGCCTACACAATTATATTTTTACCTTAAAAGTGAATAATTACTCTTATATTAAGTTTGTCACAATTCAAAAATACAAGAGATGAATGATATTTGATGAATGTTTTTACGATTAATTAAGTGAATCCTTCAAATACATTAACTTGTTTAACTAAAAGCATATATACAATGTGACTTCGATCAGATTGTCTCGTCCTATCCAACATCTAATTTGGCTTTAGACAATCAGAGGCGAAGCTTGAGGGCGCTAGAGAATAAATCTGAATTCCCTTTATTAATTTAAAAATTATACTATGATATATATAATGTTTTTTTTAATGTGTAAATAGTATATGTTGAATCATGTTGATATATACTTTTGAATGTTTATTTTTATATTTTGAATCTCTTAATTATCAAAAATAGTGGCCTACCATTATGGACAGCAGTATCATAAACATAAGGACATTTGTAAAACGAATTGGTACTATCAACTCCTCATCCCCACCAAAAAAAGAGAGACCAAACATGCTATAAATTTGAGAGTATACGTATAACCATGAAAGAACATAGTAAAATGGATGAAATCCCTTGAAAATAGAAAAAATTGAAGTAAGAAAAAATTCTTTATATGAATCTCACACAACACAAATTTAACTTAATCAGATTACTAGGTTTTGAAATACGAAATGTTATACCTAAAAGGGTGAATTTTTATATAAATAAACAAATACTCTTCCATTCTATGTATAGTATATTTTGATATTCATTCTAAGCATTCCTTCATAGGACAATAAGGAATCTACGTTATTTATATGACAATATAAATGAGTTTAGGTATAGTTGTCGAGCTATACCTAAATTGTCTCTCTTATTTACTCAAAATTGTTCTTCTTCATGCAACTCTTTACTTTATTTAAACCTACTTGTCTTAAATAATTTAGGTAAGAAACAAATTGTGTCTTCAAGCAATTTAGAAAATTAGTTAATTAAGTGATCCATTGGATAAAGACATTTACTAAATTATATATGCATTAAACATGTAGGCCATAGCTATAGCTAATTTATCTTGCTATAAGCTCTCAATTAAATTCATACGTGTTATGAACTCAAATTAAATGCAACTTGAATCTATATATAAAATGTAAATATCGTGGCGTACGTGCTACATTTTAATATACTTAAATTCTATATTAAATATGACTATGTACATTTAGAAAACTCTATGACAACTCAACATCATCCTATTAGTAATTACTTCCATGAATGTTTTACCATTAATATAGCAATTTTATGTCTTTAAATGAAAAAAATTAAAAACAAAGTTTGATTCAAATATACTATATTTTATAATTTTGCTTGTACATAATGTATCTATAGATATACAATGAAAATTTTCAACGAAGCAGTATCAGTAATTCCTCTAATTCGGTGATGGCTCCGCCAAGAGAAAAGGTAGTCTATTAAGACACCTAAAGTAGCAAGAAATAGTCAAAGAGTGTTAGTAATATGTTATTCTAGTCTAGATAGAATTGAGAATTAGTGAATAAGTAGTACATGTTCATAAACAAGAATTAGTAATTTATAGTACCATGAAATAGAAATAGAATGTACATTTATCATCATGTTTGATGATGCAGTGAGTATCATATAGTATGTGTGAAAAAATCATTAGCAGATAAGATATTGACAATGGAGAAATCTGTACTTTCAAAAGTTTAGGACCACCACCCATGTGATTGTGATGAGTGAATTGCAATGATTGCCCCTACAATGCATGTGAAATATAATTGTTGTGATGAGATGTATGTACATTCATGTTTTCTTGTTTTTTTTTCTTAATCCTGGATGTCATGTTGAGGTTTGATTACATTCAAATTTATAATAGTAATCTTCGTATCGGAAAGTAAAACGTTTTCTAATAGCAAAAACAATTCATAAACCTAGCAATGCTATGTCATTTCCAATTCTGATGTATTTCGAATGCTTGAGGGTCTCACTAACACAAAGTGATTTAGTCATGATATCCATAGCCTTGCTTCTTTTTCGGCTAAATCCTAATTGCTTCTCCTGATCGAGCCTGGCTCGATCGACTCGACTCCTTTTTCCTGCCCTCGAGCCTTGCACATCGTTTTGTTCTTCTTCTGTATCGTCGTTTTGAGACCTCTATTAAGGAATGAAAAACAATTACTATTCCATTATAACTCTCGCTAGCAGTGGGGCAGCCACATGTATTCAAGGAGTGATAATTAAAATCCCTTCGTCTGATATTTCTTATGAAAATTCTGATTTCGCTACTGCTCGTTGATTTATGGTTGATGATTCCATGTGAAAACGTACCATCTCACTGGAGGTCTACTTTATTTCTAGCAAAGAACCAAAACAGAAATCCAGTGCATGATGTTAAAATCCACTTTTCACAAACCGTACAAATAATTAAATTGATTAACCTTTAATGAGGCTACTTTGGTAGAACTCTATCAAATATATTATTGCCTAATTGAATCTAACGGACATTAAATTTTAATGAAAGTTTATAAATCCATTATAGTTGAAATCAATTTATAATAAACGAGCATTTTATGACAATCACAATTACTTCTGAAAAATACAAATTCAACATATTTATTACTTATGATATATTGTTTTCGATCCTTGTAATATGTCTTTTAAAATTTTGCTCATTTCTTAAGAAAAATATT